TATATATATATATATATATATATATATATATGTATATATTGGATATTAAAAACTAACTAACTAACTGACAAATCAAGGCCAAGTTGACCAGCAGGTGTCATTATTGCCTGCCATTACAAAACATATACACACACACAGGCAAAATATAGTCTCAACCACATTCACACCACTCTTTTATATCCATACCAATACACCAAGACCATTTTTGTGGTGTTCAGCTTTTATATTGCCATACATTTTGCATGGTAAGAGAATCATTGCAACACCTTGAAACTTTATGCTAATGAGCTGTGCTGCCCCTGGTGGTTTAGGGGGGTCATCAGACCTAAAACCTGTTTTCCCTTTAGTTTGAAGGGAGAAGCTTAGATTTATTAGGTTTTCATGGGAAAAGCATTATAATATGTCAGGATTACAACATATCAAAAATATGTGTTTATAATGGGAGTCAATGGCCCAAAAAGGTCCCTTAAGTTATTAAGTGGATGGAAATTTATACCTCCTAATCTATACACCTTGGAAAAGAGGGAGTCATGGAATTTTAAAAATAATAGTAAAAAACAAACCCTGGCCAAGTTTCATACAATTAACTGACAGATATATTGAGAATCAAACAAACTAAAATCAGCAAAAGGGACCATTTTAGTCCTAAGGTGCCCCAAACCTATCTCCTCACACAATTTTTGCTCAATTGACACCAAACTTGCTACAGAGCATCTTCAGACTGTCCTACAAAAACTATGTTTCTCAGATTTTGATTTATCAAAAATTGAGCCTACAGTGCATCAAAATGTTTGACTGTAAACGGTACTGTAAACATATACATGCAAATTCTTGCTAAATAAATCTTCAATTTTTGTCTTAATAACTGAACTTTTTTTTTTACAGTGGTTTCAAATCTGCCTTTCCATGCATGGATGGCTGCTTTCCTACACAACAGTGAATGGCTTACTCAATTTGTGAAGCCACTGTTGAATTGCTACTTGCAAATTAGCTCAGAGCGGTAGATGACTGTCTTAGGTTCTAGAGGTTGCGAGTTGAGCCTCAACTGGTGCAGAATCCACATTGTAATGTAATCATCTTCTTGTGCTCCAGCTTATTGCTTAAAATTGCCTGAGCCTGACTCATCGATGTTCAGCATCTACAAGTCTTCTTCCTGCTAGAAAATCTGCCTTCTCATGCTTGAAAATAAACCAAACTTCACAAAGATCCAGTGTCAATACTTCAGTGTGAAACCATCTGAGGCTTCTCGCTTTGCACATAGCTCAACTAGTTAAACATCAGTTTTTCACTTATGAAGCAAATCAATCATTGTTAAAATAAATTACCAACATCTCCATGCTGTCTAGATGCAATATGCGTATTTTCAGATTTTTGTTTCGATAACTGAATTTTTTACAGTGGTTTGAAATCTGCTTTTCCATGCATGGACGGCTGCTAAACCTGCACATCTGGCTTAGTCAATTTGTGAAGCTACACATGAATTGTCACTGACTAATTAGCTCAGTGAAATAGAAATTGATCCTTAGTCTCAGAGGTTGTGAGTTCAAGCCTCAGCTGATGCAAAAGGCAGATTGTGTTGCTAAATTCCTAAATGTCTTCCAATTCTTCTGCTTGTTGCTCAGAATTGCTTAAAAATGCCTGGACCCGACCCATCGCTGCACAGCAGCTAAAACTGGCTTTCAGTTTACACATTCTTATTTGTAAGTTCAGCTGAAAGTTACGGGGATAGGCTGATTCTCCATTCTACCGCTTCAAATTTTGAGATAGATTTGAGACATCATAGGGACAGCCTTAACACTTTTAAAGATCATTTAAACTTTTGAAAAACCTTTCTTCCTATCTCTCTGTGTCAAAACAGGCCTCACCCTCCCCCCCAACAGACTAAAGACTGATACAAACATTCTCGACCTGAACTCACACACCTTTACCTGAGTCCACTTTTGAATCTGACCACTCCACCAGTTCTGTCTAAAATCAAAAAACATACACCTTTCATCCTATTTAAAGGTGTGTGTGCGAACTGTAAAAAATATTTAGGGGCACATGTGCACATATAAAAAATCAACCGAAGCAGCCTATATTTTTGTCAATTAAAAAAATATGATAATCTAACCGCAAATGTTGGAAGAACTCCAGCCGCCTTCCCTCTTCCCCGTGTGACACGGTTATGGGCGGTTTTCTAAGCCACTGTCAGCATAATGTGCTCTTGCGCCGCGGTAGCTCATACACAATGAATGGGTTCGTCGGCGGTGGTCTGCGCTTTGCGCGCTCTGTGTGAAAAGGGCTTAAGTCCCACTGTCGGCAGCGTGGAAATAAGTCAAAGTGTGGAGGAGATGGACCAGGTTAAGCGGCGGATCTCCGGGGAAGCCTGCTCCGTTCTCCCCGTAGTTCAAATAATTTCAACTCTGAGCGCAGTGCTCGCACGGAAAATCAGAGCGGTGTGCGATGCCAAGGGTAGCAGTGCCACTTTGTCAGGCGTTGCTGCCCTCTCCATAGACAAACAATGGGACAGCCAGCACAAAGCGGTTTTACAGCTGATCATGTGTAGAGGCCTTTAGGGACCGTTCGCCACGGTACTGCTGCTGGGCAGGATGGAAATAAAGCCCTTTTCACACAGAGCGTGCAAAGCGCAGACCTCCGCCGATGAACCCATTCATTGTGGATGTGCTACCGCGGCGCAAGTGCGCACCGCTCTGCCGCCGAGCTGAGTGGCGCGCGAGAGGCCGCATGTTGCGGCGTCTGCGCGCTGTGACGACACCTCGGTGCCGCACGTCCAATAGCAGAGAAGAGCCTGAAGTAGACCCGAAAGCGGTCACCATGGAGCTGTAGCTCCTGAATGAGCCTGTACTCCCCCAAATCCTGTCCTTTGCGCCCTGCCCCACGGTGGGCACCGCAAAAGCTCTGTGTGAAAGAGGCTTAAGCTTAAGTCCTGCAGAGTTTCAGAGGACCTGGAGAATGTTTTAGGATAGTAATAACATTATATAAGATAATCATATTGCAAAGATAATATATATAAGATAATAACATTAAAGACAAAATTAAATTGCAATACTTTTTCAAAACTTGATGATTTTACCTTTCTGTACATTTTGTATACAAATTCATTAAATAATTTTATTTGTAAATGTCTATTTGCATCACGTTTATTACGGAAAACACATTACTTGATCAATTTACATTGTGCCCCTAAAGTTCTTTGTGCGCTCCTTACTTTTTCAACTTAGGAGCACATGTGCTCCTTGGGAAAAAAGTTAGCGTCAAGCCCTGT